AGGCGCGTTTCTGAGACTGCGCATCACCGTAGGCGCGTGTCATGAGGGTCTTGACGAAGATCTCGGCTGGTGTACCGCTGGTCGACTCGTCGTCCTTGGCAAGCGTGAAGACCCATTTCTTAGGTTTGATCAATGTCTTCGAAGCGTGATGAGCATAGTCGATTATGATCTGGTCTTTGGAGAGCTCAGCCCAAAGGACGTTGTAGAAGGGTATGCTATGATTGGGAACGGATTCTGTAGAGAAGCATGATCAGTAAGTGTTTACATGTTGTCTCGTATCACAGTTTTGAATGCTTACTGCCAGAGAAAGGAGCACAGGAGGAGCGAGTTGACTTGTTTGCAGCAGGGTCTGTTAAAGATCAGTCGAGGGCTTGGCGTCATTGTCTTCTCTAAAAGATCCGCACCGTTGAGCTCCAGTTCGTCAATTCCGATGGTCAACTTCCTCTTGTCCTCCAAGAGGAGCAACATTCCAATGCCTTCGTCCATTTTTCGATCAATATCCGTGTTTATTGAAGCTGATGTCAGCCAGCGAGCTTATCGATTGTGTTTTATATCGAACAACTTAAAACGCTAAGGGGCAAAGTGCAAGGGTTAGTTCGATCGTCGCGATTATGATAAATTGATCGCGTACAGAAGCAACAGATTTGAGAAAGAAAATCGAGAAAATGAAGGACTGGGGCAGCTCGCTCTGGCGACATAAAAAGGGAAGACAAAAGTCCAAAGCCTCTGATAACGAGCATGTGTTTTGGAATGTTTCCGCAAGGAGTTGCTTCTTAGGATCAATCGGATTACGCGGATGCCCGTTGAGCCTAGGCTGTTGATCTGCGGGGGGTCGCATCCGAGATTACAGACCTAAAGCCCCTGTAAATGCTTGCATTCGCGATGGGCTGGCTGGGCTGGTCAGGCCCCTAAAGAAGTCAATTGCGCGGGCACCTGCTGGCAGCTGACAGTCAGAACCAATAGTGAGTGCCAACCTACAGTGCCTGAGTCCCTGACGTGCTGCCGGGAGTGTAAGACTCGGAGGGGCTAGGTATTGTAACTGCCAGGCTGTGCCGCGGTAAGACAACCAGAGATAGTAACCAACTCCACACTAGCTGTAGTATTCGGTGGCCGCGGAGCCACGAGATATCTTGAAGACGTCGATTTGACTTCGACACAAGGAATGATTGCCCTTTACGGGCTTACCTCAGATTTGTCATCACGTCTGATGTAACTAAGATCTCAGTTCCCCAGAGACTAACGGCTTCTTCTTGTTTAGCCAATGTACTCGACCAATGAGGCTGATAGCGGCATGCTTGTTCTACACGATGGATCGATGCTTTAACTTTTCCCCATGTTCCCAAAACTCCATTTCCCCCGCCATCTTCGGAGTCATTCCTTGCGCCAGACTTTCCTTCCTTCTCCTTCCTTAACCCTTTTCTAACCTGAACTGGAACACCTCGGAATCGCAGCCTCGGTTACATACATCTATACGGCCAATGTCATTCAGCATCATCATCTCATGTGCTGAACCCCCACAAACTTTTTTAAGTATCAGCAAGTCAGAAAGTATGCAACGCCCCTTTATGCAAGTCTTGTCACATCAGGGAACTTCTCCTGGGCCGCCTTCTTGTATGCTTCCACCTGAGAACTCCTCCAGCCCTTGAGCACCTCAAGAGCCTCGATGGCGTCCTCATAGGTTACATCAGGGATATCCAAGATGCCAGAGACGGCCTCCTCACTCTTGGCCTTATCTTGGCCCAGTACTCTCTGTGCCTTGATGGCGGAGAGAACGTGTCTAGGGCTACCCTTGTTGGCAGCAAGGAATTCGTCGTTGAACTTAAGGAGATCCGTGGAAGGATCCACTGCCTTAAACTCAGTCTTCAGCACCTCTAGAACCTTAAGCTCAATGTCGGTCGCAGTCTTCAATAGTTGAGCGAACGCTACAGTATGTTCATGCACCCTGGGTGACTTGGGGTCAAGTGCTAGGGCAGCTGTGAGACAGCGTAGGGCGAGAATGTACTTCTCTGTAAGAGGAACCGGATCAGTAAATAAATAGTTAAAAACTTGGCAACCCATGGCATTAAACTTACTGCGGCGCATATAGACCTCGAAGCCAGCGAATTGGGCGTTGATGTTCTTGGGGCTGAATTGTAGTAAGGGGTTAACGAACTTCATGGCATCCCCGAGAGGGTCGGTGGTTTCGGCGAGTTTCAGTCCGAATGGATCGTCGTCCTGCTTCTTGACTTCCCCATCCTTATCCTTGCCCTTGTTAGGGTCTTGCTTGGCTTGTAACTCGGCAGCCTCTTTTTCGAGGCGCTGCTGCTCCTTTCTAGCCTTCTTGGCGGCCTTCTTCTTGGCCAGAGCATCCTCAGCGTCCTCTCCATCGGCGCCGTTGACACCATTTGCGGAAGGCTTATCGGCCAATTTGAGGTAAACTTCAATCGCATCCAGAGCAGCTCTTGAGAAAAAGGGATGATCACGGACATGGTCTTCCCATCGCATCATATCGATGTAGGCTCGGATCTGGCCCTTGCGAAGAGAGAAGCTGTGGAAATCGAACTGGTCCTCCTGCCACACCTCAAAGATGTTAAAGATTTGCTGGAATCGCTTGAGAGCAAGGGCAATATTGCCTTGGCGAGCATATGCCTCGCCGTCTTCTGTCAAGAACCAGACACTCTGCATATCCAAAAGATCCGCCAAGGGACCGCCAACAGTTTCTGCACGAGTGAAAAGGCCGACTGTCTTGAGAGCCTTATCGTTTTCGTTGTTGCGAAGCTGGTACTTGGCTGCCTTTGTGTTGATGTATCTATCCTTAAGATCGAGCTTCCTGGCTCGATCCATTGCCTTGGAGGCTTCTTGTATGTTTCCGCCATGCTTGATGATTCGTGCCTTAGTCATGGCAAAATCAACGCTCTTGGGGTCCTTCTCAATTGCCTTCTCGGCGTACTCCATGGCTTTTGTCAAGTCGCGGCTGAGATGGTAGTTGTAGTGCTGTGCGAGGTAGTACAGTGCTGCCGCTTCTCCTTTATCCTTACTTTCCGAATCAGCACCCTGCGAGTTCAAATAGTTCTCGGCCAGTTCACGGAGGGTGTCCTTTTTGAATGAGTCGGAGTAAAGATGCTTCAGATTAGCAAAGGTTGATGGCACTCCCTTGTTAAGCATCAACGTCAAATAGGCCTCAGCAGCCTGCTTGAAGTCGTCGCCTATTGACGAGTTAGTACTGGTGGCTGGCTAGTGTCTTGGTCGGATTTACCTGACAAAAAGTCCAGCGGCAACCGGCGCGCAGCGTCGCAACGGGGGGACTTCTCCGCATACTCGTCATAAATAGCCTTACGAGCCTTGGAATCGTCCTCTGATACCTCCATGACCTCCAAGAACTTCTGGTAGTATGCAGGGTGCTCCGAGTTGCGGTCAAGGAGAGCCCGGTAGGCCTTGGCAGCTTCCTCCTTCTTGTCCAACTTGTGAAGATACTCGGCGCGAGCCTCCATAACTGCCAATCGATCGAGATTTTGCTTGGCAGCCGTATTGAGATGCTCAAGCGCACGCTCGTAGTCTCCTTGCTCCGCAATTAGAGAGTTCTTGTACATAATTGCTTCTGAGTGCTCATTGTCGAATTTCGAGGGCTTCGCCTTCAGAGTTTCCTCATATGTATTCATGACCTTCTCGGCCTCAGCAGGGTTTCCTGAAAGGTGGTGAGCAATGGCGAGCGCAGTCCAGCTTTGGCGCATTTGAGGTCGGGCCTGGAGCATGGCGGTTCGACTTTGAATGTATCCTTGATAGTCGCGGCATTGAATTTGCAGAATAGCCAGATCGCGCTGAATTTGTGCTGACTCAGGCTCTAGTCGCAGAGCAAACTTGTACGCCTTAATGGCCTCCTCGAAATTCTTGTTTGCCCGGTGCAGTAGGCCATACACGTGCCAGCAGATGTGCGACTTCATATCCATGGTCAAGGCTTCCTTTCCCAATGCAAAGGCTTCTTCTGTCTTTCCCTGGGAGTTCAAAATCAAGGCCTTCATCGCAGTGGTGTCTCCATGTTTCGGATGCTTCTTGAGAATAAGCTCGGCCGACTTGAGACCACGCTTGTATTGCTTGTCCTCATAGTATCGAATAACGGAGCGGAAGAGCGAGGCCTCCTTGGAGGCAAGAGGTTGCGGCATCGTGATTATAGGGGGCAATTTTTGTCTTCGGAGCGTAAAGAAACCCGTAAAGAAGAACGTAAAGAAGTCGTGAGCTAGTTAATTGCGGCCGTCGTCCGTTGTCGGCGAGGATTACAAGCTCCCAAGAGGATCGAATGAGGGGTGCGTGGGAGGAAAAGGTACAGAGAAGCTTTGACGATACAAAAACCTCGTCAGGAGATGATGACAGGAGGGCAAAGAAGGGTAAAGAGGCGGCTTCCCTGACCGGCGGTTGTGGAGAGATGTCGTGTAGAGCTCAAGGTGCTGTACCATACGACTTAGGGTCAAAATGATGTGGACAGGAATTGCTACGGTAGACCGGCAATTTCTCGGAGGTCGCCTGTGGGTTGCTGAGTTATGAGGAGTTGGTGGTTTTGGAGGGGCAGTTTAGGATCCATGACAGCATGGAAGCCTCATGAGTGTTGGCAAAGAATATAATGTTGAATAAATAGGTTGTTTCATGAGAACAGCGCAATACCACATACAGAGTGTACATTCATTGAGAAATAAGCATCAAAGTGGCAGATCTTTCTTGGCATCTAAGTAAACTTCTGGCACACAGGGCATGCACGCTACACCAAAGCTTAAGACGTCTATACTAAATGATGAAAGGATTCAGGGAAGTCAGCATACAATCAGAATGGCTCTATGAAGGGTTTATGATGAAGATATCTAGGTAAGCTAGCACAAGATTATTAGAGGGGCTCTTTGAGGATCATGTATTACTTTTATACAAGAGGCGTTAATTCGTACAGCAAGTCTCTATCCTATAGTCCTTCTCTTACAGGTTTCGTACTCCAATGGTCGTTAGAGGATCTAAGTGGTGTTTCGTGATATCATAAATTATACATTCCCTTCCAAGTTTCGGGCCTTCCTCCATTTTCTGATTGTGTCCTCCCAGTTTTCAAAAGGATCGCCCCCGCATCGTTGCTGTACGACCTCCCACGTCCTATGTCGTACGATACCCTCTACGCCTCTCTCTTGTCTTACAAGCGAAGCCAGGCGCTCAGTACGTGCTTCACGTGGGAAGAATCTACCGGAATACGGATCTAATCGTTCATCGACTGTTCTATCGCGGTCTTGTTCTTTCTCTAGTTCCCTGATAGTTCGGTCCGGGTCATCAGGGTCCGGGCTTGCAGCTACAAGAGCGCAGTAATTCAGCACTTCAGTCCGGGTCTCCCATGAAGGAAACAGCACTCTCTCCTTGAAATCTAAGCATGGCTGAGGATCAATCTGTTTTGAGGTTGGTCTTGGGACGCGTTGCGATGTGGACGAGGGATCAAATCCGGATCGAGACGGCGTCACAAGTGCATTGAGATTCTGTGTGATTGAATCATCGATGGAAGATCTTGAAAGTCGAAGAAAGTCTGAAAATAAAAGAAAAGAGTAAAACAGTCAGTCGGGTATTCGAACAGCCGGTACTTTTGACTCGAACATACCTCGCAAAGTGCCATACGAGAAACAGAATTGTGGAGTTAGCTGATGCTGTGTAGATGGTTGAGTCATGTTATTCTTCGGCCGCGAGGAGCTCTGTTTCTGAGCGTCCGGCGAACCCTTCCAGAGTATCCCGGCCAGAATGGGCAGATGTTAAAGTTCAGCTGATTAGAAATTCGAAATAGTTGCTAGCGTAGTAAGCCAGGGAAGTGGCTCGCAACGAATCTGAAACAGGGTCGAGTAGAGTCAAGTCGCGTTAGTCGTAAGAAAAATATTGTGAGTGATGGTTGGTTCTATCTCGACTTCAGTGACGCAACTAGAGAGTTAGCCAGAGCTATCTAAGGTCCGGCTGCTTGTATCCGGAAAGTCCGGATAAACTCTGGCTCCGCTGGCCACTGGATCCTTGCAGAGATCCCCAGCTTGATCCTGGTAGTCCCGATCCATCACTGCACGACAGAAGCCCCCAGGATATCAAGAGAAAGTTTAGGAGAGATTAGACTTTGAATGCGAGACATTCTAATTCAAGCTAGTTACAACTATGGTTGCTCGTAGTCTCGAGCAGTATCTGAAGTTCTTTCTCTGAATCCGCAACTGTTACACTTATCCTTCACTTCTTGTGTGGGTTCTACTGGAAACAAGCTGACTGGCTTTTGCCCCATCTCATGGGGCTGAAACAAGCTGAGTGAGGGCAATTTATTACTGAACTCTTGATGCACGTCCCGGGTCAAGGCGAGGAGCCAGGAACCCGGGTGACGCCAAGGTGGACATTTTCAGGGCGAGGCACAGATTTTCGCTCTACAAATCCAGGGTCTGCATCTTCTGAATCAGCCTACGACAAACTAATCGGCATTGCTCTTTTCGCCCGCTGAAGCAAGTTGCCACCGCCGAATGGAGCCGCGCTACGCTTGTAAATGGGTGGATGGTTATCGCATAGCTCACCGGGCAGACGGGTGTCCGAAGATCCAATGTTGGCGATGGATTGCGCGGGCAGACGAGGCGCCATTTAAGCATTGACATTCTAATCCCTTCTACGCCTCACCGTTTGGGCGTTGCGTGCAATCCTCCGACGGGGCAGTCCCTGAGCAGGGCTGACTGAACATGATAATCAAGACTGCACTGGATCTCAGGTCCTCAACAGACTCGGTCACATTTCTTCAGCCAGGGATCTGTCTAGCGGCTTTACTTCCCCATAAGGCTAAAAAGGCTGCGAGACTCCGTAACTGCCAGATTGGATAAAAGACGCAAAGAGAGCGACTCACGAACCTGCAGATGCAGACGCCACCGTTGAGACCCCATCTGCCGGCTCAAGCACCAACGCACCCTATTTGTCGCCGTCCTGGGTATTGATCAACTAATTCCCAGGCAGTTGGGTGGCTTGTCCGTTCCGCTAGATCCAACGCCCAGGACAGGACAGGACCAACTGCCACGCGCCTAACGCTAGGAATCACCTCCATGGAAGGATGTTGGCTTAATTACAGGCTACAGTAGGGCACGGCTTGCTTCCGGGCTAGAAGCCGACTCGCTCTGTTTCTTCGGAACCTCTTTAGCCTCTTGTGACTGTGCTCCGTGGATTGCATGGTCTCAATATGTGACGACGGTGTGCAGCAAATAGAGCCCGGGCCGTCGTCACTCTCCTGCGCTGAGTCGATTTGAGTTGAGGCTTCAACTCTTCCTTTTGCTTTGCTTTGCTGCGCAGCGCACGAATTTCAGCACGGCCAAGGCGAAAGAAAGCACGGGCTTGGTCCGCTCTCTGCAGGAACCGCAAGCTTACGGAAGTATTTGCAGCTGTCAAATCGTACATTACCCCCCGAGTTTCCTGCTCGAGTCTGATCTCGTTTGGCGGCTTGTACTACTTTGGCATTTCTGAGTCGACCAACTGCCACCAAATTTTGTTCTTCTCCAAGGATGGATCAACTTCAGAGTCGGGTCGAGAAGGCAGACCTGCAGGATTTGATTGACATATGCGAGCAACTTTCTGAGGAGTGTAGGGGTATCTCTAATTGTCTCAATACCAGCCCAGTTACGTTGGCTTCGCTCGCCAAGGAGTGTCGCGCGATCACAAATGCGCTTGACAGGTTACACGAACTCAGCCGGTCGATTGAAGGTGGCACAGAAAGTGTTCGGGCATCAAACAACGAATTCGTCTATTCCGTTTCCAAGGATGTGCATGAGCTGAGGGCAGCACTTAAACGCATAAAGGGTCCAGATAGGGACAGCGGCATTCACCTCAGCGAACCGCAGCTTATCATCGTCTGGAACGAAGCAGCATTGAAAGGGTACCTTGCGCGGCTGCGCACTCACCAAGCGTCTCTCCATACCCTCCTCAATGCTGCGACACGGCAAGTAACCTTCTTTTCTAAGTGCACTGGTTCAAGGCTAACTCTTAGTAGTGCCGGTTATAACTTCGGGGGAAATGACAACAGGAGGCGTGTGATTGAGCCAGATATTGGAGTAGATGAGGCACTACGGAGCCTTGCTCGAAAGTTCACAGCGCCAAACCAACAATCTGTCGTGTTACCTAGAGTCAGCGACTCTGCCGAGATTCAAGTCCTACTTGATACCCTTGTACCACCACCAGGAGTCAATTACGTGCGAACCAAGGATGCCGCAAATGAACTGCACAACGCCATTGAACGGAGCGATGAGACGGCTGTCTTTCACATCCTTCTCGAACGCGCAGACCCCAACATAATGTTGGCTGGTTCAATGCTCTCCCCGCTGCATCGTGCTTTCGACAAAGGCCATATGTTAATCGCTGCTTTTCTCATTGTCGCTGGCGCAGATGTTGACGAGCCAACTACTGATGGTCATACAGCATTGATGAGAGGGATCAGGTGTGGATTTTCGGAACAATTTGCGACTCTTGTGATTCACATGAAAGCCCGCGTCAATGCGATCGATAACGATGGGTGCTCAGCCCTACACCTCTCGGCTGCTTCAGATGTCGTCGACGATGAAACGCTCCCAGTTCTCATCGATGCAGGCGCCGATGTCAACCTTGTCGATTATAATGGCCAGACACCACTTCTCGTGGCAATTCAGCATAGCCGCTGGTCCGCGGCAACAAAGCTCGTACAAGCTGGTGCAGATCTAGAGGTGCGGTTACCAGATGGGAAGACAGCACTCCACATGGCTATCGCAATGCGCAACCAAGAGTTCTCCCAGGTGTTGATATCTCGAGGAGCAAACGTTGATCGCGTACTCCGCGAGCATACTCCCCTCACAATGGCCATCAACTCTCGTTGCACAGCTATCACCGCTGTTCTTCTAGATAGCGGTGCAGACCCAAACCTGCCTAGCCGCAACGGAAACACACCTTTACTGGCAGCAGCATCCACAGGACATGACGAAACTGTGCGATATCTCATCGCGCATGGAGCCGATCCAGCAGCCACTCAAGGACACTCTGGATATTCAGCGATGCACATGGCGGCCCACAAGGACAAACCTCACATCCTGCAGCTGTTGTTTGATGCAGGCGCACCCGTTGATATATTGGATAAGACAGGCGAAACTCCTCTCCTCGTGGCAGCCAAGCTTGGCAATGCGCAAAGCATCTTTCGCTTGATCAGACTCGGTGCTGATGTGGAGCGAGTTGGGCCGGACGGGATGAGCATTCTTTCTCACGCAGTCAAGATGGGCGATGTTGACCTTGTCACGGCACTCCTAGAGCTGGGGGCGGGTATGCAGGTGTCATCCATGTTCCCTTCGAAGGGTAGTAAAGAATATCTGGTACCTGAGCCACAGACAACACCGATTCACGTTGCCGCTCAGCACGCACGAGACGAGATCATACTGCGGCTTGTGTCCTATGGCGCCTCCCTCGAGAGCACCATCTTCCCTGGTCGGACACCTCTCTCCGTTGCTGCATCTCACGGGCACATCTCGACAGTCAGGTTGCTTCTTCGACTCGGTGCAAATACGCACGCTTTAACAACACATGGTGATACGATTCTTTTCCAGGCATCGGCAAACCAAGCAACCCTCAAGCTCTTGCTACTGCAGGGAATTGACGTGAACCATCAGAACGATCGGGGCGCTACAGCCCTTCACTACGCGGCTCTTCGCGGGCACATCGGGGGTGTGAGGATGTTGCTTGAGAAGGGTGCTCGACAGTACCACGCAAACGCGGTGTGGGATGCCTGGGAGGACAGAGACGGGACTGGAGGTTATCGACAGGGCACACCAGCTGGCATGGCCATGCAAAGAGGTCTGGACAAGGTCGCGGAGTTAATTGAGGGATGGAAGTATAATTGACTTTGGTGTAATACTCGGCGATAAGGTTATGATTTAATGGATGGAGTAATGGCTGGACGGCGGAACTGTATCCCCTGTATATGATATGGGTTTGGGTTTGGGCTCGATGAGATACCACAAAAGAATTGTTATAATTTGGCGAGATAGTATTCATGTTTAGTGTTTGTTTGTAACATGCATTATTTATGACTACTTGCATCAGCCGTGAACAACAGCCGTGAACGGAGTGTAAGTCATGTATCGTCGAATGCTGTGCACGTTGGTATAAACCCATACATAGTCCTCTATATCCGGATCCACGTGCTGCGCTGTGCAATAGCTAAGCTTTTCAGCCCTAGCAATGTCCCATGCCCATTACCAAAAGCGAGAGGCAGCTGAGTGACAGTTACGGATACGAAAAGTCATGAAATGCGAAATTACTTACTGCAACGACGGCAAACTACCGCGCCGTTCGATCAAAAAAATGACGTGATGGCGAGATTAATTAACTACCTAGCCCGGTAATTAATTGATAAATTGCCATCAGCCGTGAGCAGGACCTCTCGGCCTAACCACTAACAACCTATTGGTGCATACGAATACGGGGCGTCATGACGGCGTTCAAGTGTTGACGTAATAGGCACGAGTGATGATGGGCGAGGCAGTGCTCAACGGAAGAGTTGATGATGGACGCCTCTCAATTCTACTACTGGCAAGGTTATGATGAGTTGTGCTGTCTATAGGTCTCGTGATCTGTAGCCAAGAAAGCAATAGAAGCTCAACGTTTGGCCAAAGTAAACTCTTCTTCATCATATTCTTTCTTGTCTTGTATCTGA